GAATGGGGAGGGCCTCTCCAGAGACCCCAGGAGAACTCTCAAATGGATGGAAAATCAAAAGGCATATGTTTGAAAGTCTGGCTAACTGATGTAATTCAAGTCTGACATGAATTTGTTTTTTGAAGACGTAAATTCCAAATGCAAGGACAATTTAGCTGTTTCTGAGGCTATTCACAACGAAGTAACTTTTGTTCTTGTTGCTTGATACTAAGGCCTGTTAGTCTCAACAAGAGCATAATAAAAAATTGTGTATGTTCAGACAATTTTTATAGAAAAACTATGCTGAACTAGTAAAAATGCAAATTGGAAATTTTCTTGTAAAGAAACCAGGCAGTATTTGTTTTCAAATAATCAAAACAAATGGCTGAGAACATGTAATCCTAAATTAAGAAAAAAGACTACTGCACTTAGCAGATTTCATATGCCCTGGTACTAAGTATTGAAAGCCATTAATGAGTCTTAATAGGTTAAACAGTCCTCTGCACTTTACTTCGATAATTTGCTTGACAAGAAAAAAAGGAACAGCATTAGTCTTGCAGTATTCCAAATTACACGAATCACAGAAACCAGGTACAACTTTATGAGGTTCACTAATCACAGAATTTTCATGCTGGCAGGACCCATAGGTTTATCTACCCAAATTCCTTATTTTACAGATGAGGAAACTGAGGCCCAGAGAATTAAAGTGACTTTTTCCCAGATGATAAGGCTAGCCAGTAAGCAGGTCTTAAGTCTGCTGCATTGCTCCTCCTATTAGAAGGTCTTCCAGTGCACATAAATTGACATATTCCAAGGTGCCTGCTTGGTGAAGATGTCAACAATTAGTTAATTTTTGTTATAGCACACATACAAGCCTCTTTTGAAATACCTTTGGTTTTATTTTCCATGTAACAAGAACAGAAGATGCCCTTATCACTGCATAAAGCAGATAACCGGGGGAGAAATGAGAAGACCACTGGGCTTAATGCACACAGTCAACATGAAATCCTTGTGCAGATATTGGAGGAACCATGTTTTTCCATAAAACAAAGTCACAGGGCATACTGCCTAAATGAAATGTAAGCTAAATCTGAAGTCACCTACTAAGGATTTCTCTGCATTGCTCAAAAGGCATATATACACCACACATACATGTGATAGGAAACAACTTTCAGGTAACCTTGCTTAAGTGAGGCAAGGGCTAAGACAATCCACTGTTTATCTTCTTGGAAAGAAAAAGAGAGAAGGGTGGGTCATTTCCCTGCCACACCTAAAAAATGCAGGGTAGTGAATCAAAAAGGTTTGAAACACTAAACATGGTAATTTGCTAGTTTACTAATAACAAATATGGAAAAGGGAGTGGAAAGAGTCTATAAAACCAATTAAAAAGAGTTTGCTGGGCATTAATATTCTATGTGCTACAGCCTTTAACTCTCTTCACAAGTTTGGAAAATAGGCTTTATTATGTCTACTTAAGAAAAAGCTAACTTCTGGGTATTTACTCAAAAAACTTGAAAACAGTGATTTGTAAAGATATATGTACCCCTATGTTCATTACAGCATTATTCACAGTGGCCAGGACATGGAAACAACCAAAGTGTCCTTCAATAGATGACTGGTAAAGATGTGGTACATGTGCACAATGGAATACTACTCAGCCATAAGAAAAGATGAAATACTGCCATTTGCTCCATGGATAGATCTTGAGAGCATCACGTTAAGTGAAATAAGTCAGTTGAAAAAGGACAAGAACCACATGATTTCACTCATATCTGGGATATAAAACAGAAAACAACAAATGAACAAACTCATAGACACAGCCAGCAGTATGAAGGTGACTAGAGGAAAACGGGGGAATGGAGGGAGGGTGAATAGGGTAAAGGGGATCAAATATATGGTGACAGAGGGAGACTAGACTATGGGTGATGAGCATAGAATGCAATATACAGATGATTTATTACAGAATTGTACACTTGAAATATATGTTATTAGCCAATGTCACCCCAATAAATTTAATTTAAAAAAAAAAAAAAGCCCCAGCCGGTTTTGCTCAGTGGTTAGAGCATTGGCCCATGGACTGAAGGGTTTCGGGTTCAGTTCTAGCCAAGGGCACGTACCTTGGTTGCAGGCTACATCCTGGCCCTGGTTGGGGCACGTGCAGGAGGCAACCAGTCAATGTGTCTCTCTCACATCAATGTTTCTCTCTCTCTCCCTTCCACTCTCTCTCAAAAGCAATGGAAAAAATATCCTCTGGTGAGGATTAAAATAACAGTAATAATAATAATAATGATAATAATAAAAAGAAGAATCTGAGGTAATGGACAGGTTCCCCACCTACTAAGTGGTGAAGCTGGAGTTCAAACCCCAGTGCCCCCTCCCACTCTCACCTCTACTCTACATGGTCTCGCAGTGGTCAGCATTACGGAGAGTAAAGATTGCCTTCAGTGTTAGCTTCTAAATCCTTCTAAATTCTCAATCCCATGATCGTAAATAGGACTGACACAAAACAGAAGATACAGTTGCCGAACAGGAAATGGGGGTTACAGGTCAAGGTTTCTCATATCCATCCATCATACTCTCCCAATAAAATATCAGACCATATCCTTTCCTGTAAGCAGCACCAGGAAATACTGTTACATTGAATTTCACTGGTTCCCACTGTAACTACTAGGTCACCTCGTTGTTATACAGACATGCGTGTTTAAGAAACATCACACGAGAATTAAACCAGAGCCTGAAACACACTGAGAGGAGGAAAACTTTCTTGGTTAAACTACAATGTAAACTGGGATCCTCTGGCCCTCCCTGGCTAAAGTGAGCCTGTCACAGAGTGTGTAGTCTACAGCAACTTCAGCCCTTGGTAATCTGAGCAAGGATGTTCTTCTCTCCTCTATAGATTGAGAGTCACCTCATTTCTTACCCAAGATAATCACTTGGCAGACGCTCCCGTTCACAACATCCCACTTCTGCTAAGGTAAATTTCTGCTATCTCATCTACCTGGGACATTGGCAGGGATCATAAAGCAAGCAAGAGAGGATGGCAGAAGGCCAAAATAAACACCCTAACGTTTATTTAATTCAACCCAGCAAGAATTTATTGAAAGCGCACTATTCACCAGGCACGGTGCCCGAGGCTGGAAATGTTGGTGATGATGATGGTAAGAATAATTCTAGCAGTGGCTACCACGCTGAATGCTTACCATGTGCCAAACTTGGTTACAAACACTTAAACTCATTTGTTCCTCCAAACAACTCTGAGATGGCTCCTATTGTTATCTATGTATTTGTGATAAGGAAACTGAGGTAGCTCTTACTGTGACCCATGAATGAGTAATAAGGAAATTGAGGCATGGAGTGGTTAAGTAACTTGCCCAGGGTCACATCTAGTAAATGGTGGATGCAAACCCAGACAGACTGCACACTAAATATAAGTAGGAATAAGGGCTATAGAGGTCAATAAGACTATCCCCACCCCCAGAGCCTATAGTTTAATTGAAAAAACAAGCAAATAAATGTTAGAGGGGTGCATAAACCAACCAAGTGTTCAAGGCAGGCTCCCAGCAGTAAATGCCCTGTTGGCTGAATTCAGAAGCCAACCAGAGGAAGATGAGGGTATGGGGTGCATTCCAAGGGAGACAGTAGCTTTCATTAAGCCAGCTAGGGTGGAAAAAAGCCTGGAGAGACTGGGGGACGCAGGATAATCACTAGAGCTGTGAACAGAAATGTGAGTAAATAATAGTGTGTTGTTTGGGGGCAAGGGAGGAGGTTGGGGAAAGATAGCTAAAACGTGAGGGTGGAAAGGTAAATGGAAGGAAACTCATAAAGGACCTAGGCATGGCATGCTAAGGTCTTTCAGGCTTTATCATGAGAGATATGGAAGGGTTTGAACAGGAGAGCCAGCTGCATTTGGGAACAATCCTTCAGTAGCGTAGAAATGATCAGAAGAGGGTGAACCTAAAGGCAGGCTAAGCACATAAGGAGCTGGCAGCAAGTGCTATTGGGTGAGAAGACAGCAGCCTCACCCGAGGCAGTAGCCCTGGGGTGGAGGAAAGTGGACTCATAGGAAATGCGGGGAAGGAAGTAGCAAAAGTACCTGGTGGCTGACTATACGGGGGCACAGGGAGGAACCCAAGGAGACATCACCAGGATTCTGCATGGAGGATGCAGCGGAGGTCTGGCATGTCCAAAGACAAGGATCCCTGAAAGGGGAGCAACTTTCAGAGATCGAGAAGGACCCATTCACGTGTCTCAGGCACTTGTCTTGGAGGAAATGAACCTAACAAAGAACTCTAAATTCTTTTTTTAAATATTGTTAATGCGAATAAGGTTTTCATCTGTCTTTCTAGGGTGTAAGTGATCAGAAGCTTAAAATTCAGGGGGAAGTGTTTGTGCCCAGAAAACAAGGAGGCTGACAGGAGGAAGGGAGCAGATGGGAAAATAATTCAGAGACGACTTGGGTACAGCAAAGAGCCCTTTCCATCTCAGTAGGGTAATCACAGCACATTGCAAGAACAGGTTATAAGGTTAGCCTAATCATCAAGAAAAGGTTAATCTGTGCTCTCTATCTGCTGTTTTAATAAGCAGCCAAACAGGAAATGGATTTTAGAAAGGCACTAATAGAAATAGTTCAGATAAACGCTGTGCTGCAAAACCTTCTGTTATTTAGAAAAGTCACTTAATGTGGAAAACCTCATTCACCAACATGATGGAGAAAGCATGAAATAGGTCCCATGTCTCTTTTCAAAAGAGAAATGTTTCGGTGATCAGCAGACTCTTCCAACCAAGATAACCCTTCCTCCCTCAAAGCCAGCATGCTACTGTTCCCCTTGGTCAGCTGGAGAAGACCTAACTGCTCTGTGATGGCTGGAGTGTATTATGGTTGATGTTGTTCAAAATGACATTAAGCTGGCTCTCATTTTAAGGTGACAAACTGTTCCCTTGGCAATCACTTCAAAAATTCTGATAGAAAAGGGGAAACCATTGCCAGGCACAGAATTAATCAGTGTTAAACACACTCTTACCTGTCTCTTATTATGATTTCACCACAGGATTGGCAGTAAAATGTGCAACCGTCTTGGGCTTGTGTGCTTTGATTAAACATTGAAATCAGTTCTAAAGGAAATAAATGAAACAGAAATCTCAGAGGTTTGGGACAAATAATGTTAACATATTTATAAGAGTTTAATAGCCACAATGAATTACCATCAATAAATACTGTTTATGATCTACCGAGAAGTACACATTTAATTAGTATTATCTGATGACTCAACCAGAAGTAAATATTGTGAAGTGTTTTCAAAAACAACAGATTTTGCTAAGTGCTCCAGAGCTGGGTATTGCCCTAGATTATTCATGTAACAAACTGATGAGTTATTTCTCTCATTCCATAAATGCCAACAATAAAGATGAGGGAAAAGGGGCTATTTCTTTCACATCAAGCTAACTACACAGAGCTTCACCATCCTCAGCTTTCTTCGGCTGTGTCTGAGGTATAGTTTTTCATCAGTGTGACTGCTGGTGAATAAAGCTCTTAAATTTAAGTTTAATTTGATTTAAACAAGATTTATGTCCACTCTGGCATATTACCAGTATGTACAAACAAAATGAATCTTGAAACTGGTCTATTGGACAGGTTCCTGAGAATGGAATGGCTCCTAAGAAGAATTCAATCTTCTAAGAGCAAAATTCAATTTCTGATTAAAGATGTGGAAAAACATATATTTCCCACATTATGTGAAGTGCAGCATAAGGCACTATGTTCTCTCAGTTTTCTTTTATTCATGAAGAAAAAATTTTTTTCATTTCTCCCCCAGAAAGCACACACAAAAATATGTGTCTATTAAAAAAATCTAAAGAAATGAGGTCATGTCCATTAGAATCAAGCAATTTAAATTTGGTTTATGTTACTTTGTATGTATTATAAGATTAAGTAGACCAGGTAAGGCATCCAATATATTCTTTTCAGAACCAGTAAACAAATTTTCAGTGAAACACTCCCCTCTGCTGGTCACCAAGCATGATCCTCTGGTTCAGGTTCAAGTGAGAATTTTTTGATACGGGGCATCCTAGGAACGCTCTGCCACCTGGGGATGAATTTAGTGCTTGTGCTATATCCGATTTTACGTTCCATGTCAAGGGTCATGATCTGACCTAGGTTACATTCAAAACAGTATAACAATATGTTCACTCTAGTCCTTAGAAGAAAGTTCTTATAGTTGAAAAGTCAACTTTTTAAAAACCCCAAATCACAACTGAATAATAAAAATTTCAAAACTCTCTTCCTACAATACATTTCGATTCAAGCTTACATCAGTATGCATCTGAGATTTATTCATTCAGCATCTATTATGAGCAAAGCCCTAAAGCAATTAAGTACTGAGGACTCTATTTTACATACCCTTTCACGCACTACACAATAGGCCTTTGAAAGCTTTCCTTTTCAGATACCTGAGTAAAATATGTTTTAAAAATGCAAAGAAAGAGGAGACCAATGAATGCAAACTATATGCAAAACAACACACAGCAGTCAACTTATTCTGTCCTCCAGTCAAAACTAAACAATAATGTTTGCTGATTTAAATTTTTTTCTAAATAGTTCAAGTTTTGCTATTTGTATATTAACTGTTACAGAATATGGGTAGGTGATAAACCAGTTCTGTCTCTGGAAGGTCTCCCTACCTCCTAAGTATAGGCCCTAAAATCGCAGTCCTAGAAAACTAATGGGAGATCTGAAAATACCCCACTGTGGCTTTCCCAAGTTCAAGCCAGACAAAAAATTCCTGCTGTGGTTAGTTATTCTTTATCACTGAGAAGGTGATGACTTGACAAGGGCCAGACTCCACGCCTTCTTCCCAGAAACACCACTTCCTCTGCTTACTATTAGGTACACTCAGGAGTCTGCCAGTATGTTTTCCATCTTGGTGACCCACTCTTCTTTCCATGTATAGTCCAACAGTCATTCTTAGTGTTTATCTTATGTCATTTAAGCTCCATGACATTTCTTTCCCCTACTTCTTATCAACCAACTCTACCCAATTCAGACCAGTTATTTATCAATCCAGGACATGAGCAAAATTATTCTCTAGGAAAAAAGGAGCGAAACTCGCTCTATCTTCTCTTTCCTTTCAAAAGCCAGCAAAGAAACTCCGGGGAACTGAAATATGCTCCCATCTCTTAAATGGCTCTTTAAAACAATCAGCTAACCCCACCTCTAGGTTCCATGCAGCTCAGATGAAAGGCTTAGTAAAAATGAGGCAGCAGTGAGGTCTAGAGGTATAGCTGGAAGGATTAAAATACTTCTCTGATAATGAGCATAATATCAGTCTGGTACAGCCTCTGTTCCCCATTTTTATATCATTTTAATTCTCCAAAGTGTATTACTTACATGGTAAGAGATGGGATAAACCAATAATTTTATTCAATAAATTATTCTGAGAAACATTCCTACTGTCTTACTGAATCAATGTGCCAGTAACAAAATACTGGAAATATGATAGGCATAGCAACATTCAAAATTAAATTATGTATCAAACTCAATTTCAGAATCTTTATTTGTACTCTTTTCTCTACTTGGAAATGTCTCTACATGGATGGGATCATTTCCATCATTGAGTTTTCTGATCAAATATCGCCTCCTCCAGGTGGACTTTTCTGATCACTCTCCACCCAACCCCAGGAACTCCCTATCCCACTATTCTGCTTACTTTACCCACAGTGCTTTTCTCTGTATCCAAGTAATTAGCTTGGTAATTATCTATTCCCACCATGAGGTCAGAGACCTTCCCAGCTTATTCACTTCTGTATCCCTACAACCTAGAGAAACACCTAGTACACGGTATAAGGTAATATTCACTGAATAAATGAATTTCTATAAGATGCTTTAAAATAAACTAGGTCTTGTACAAACCATCTGATTTAACCTTCATATCAGCTCTGTGAGCCAGTAATTTTACAATTAAAGAGACAAAGCAGGGGTATTTGGAAAATCTTTGCACCTTCCGCTCAATTTTTCTGTGAACCTAAAACTGCTCTAAAAAATAATAGTAATAAAGTCTATTGGGGGGGGGTTAAAGAAAACCACTAAAGAAGCACAAAAGAAACAAAGCCTCAGAAAGGTTAGGTGACATGTTCAACTGCACACAGCTGACAAATGGCAGAGCTGGCAAAGAACCTAGACTTTCTCAACCCCCAGCTCTTTCCATGACATTTATGAGCAGTTATTTTCACCTGGGAAAAGTTCAACTATTTAAAGGAAAATCACCTTTAACTTATAGTGAAAAGGTTAACGCAGAAACGGGAGTGCTAGTGTTACTTACGTGTGCTAAACTCGGCCACCGCCTGCAGCCGCAGGTGTAGTCCATCTCCAGCCACATACTGCAGCCCACGGCTAGAGGAAGGTACAAGCCTGACCTCTGCTGGAAGCCAGATCTCTGTGCAGCCTTCAGGGGTTTTCATCTGGAGTGAGGATGGAGTTATGGATATATCCATGGGCATACCTCCTTCTTTTGGCTCTCTGGTAATTAAAAATAAAACATACAAAAATTATTTTTCATTGCTGAAAACCACATGACGAAAGAAACAAAAATGGCCAAGGATCTCACTGTTCCTCCTCAATAAGGACCCTAAAGTAAAGTATCCCAGAAAAATAACAGTGATCCAATCATTAAAAAAACAGCCTACGACTAGCAAAGCTCAGGTGCCAGTCTAGGTCTTCTGGCTCTAAGATCTCCCCTTTTTTTGAGGGACAATTGCTGCACTTTTCTCTGCCTAATGTGAAGGATATTCTTCTTGTCCAGGAAATAACAGCAGACCAGATTAAAGATGGCAGTGGACTGAGTGGAAGCTACACTGACACTCTCCTGGGACCAAACTGGAATTACAACTAAAATATAGAAAAAACACCCTGAATAACCAACTGCACCTAAAGATGAGCTGGAGAGCATCCCCACAGGAGGAAAAGTGGAGACTGCATAGAGACTGGTAGGAAGTGCGGAGGTGCGAGAGTGCTGGCTGGGCTCCCACAGGCAGCAACTGAAGGTCCAGAGTGATACCTTAGCTCTGGGGGTTCCCACTGAGGACTCTGGGACCTAAACCCCAGGCTAGGCTTCTCAGCCAAGAGCACCAGAACTGAGAAAGGTGCCCACATAACATCTGGCTGTGAAAAGCAGCAGGGTTTCTGTCTGCTAAGGAGAGATGGCTGGAAATGCAGGTGGCCCCTTAAAGACCCAATGCACACCATTTTGTGTGCAGCCACTCATCTTGGGCTCCAGGAAAGGGAGGACAGAGTGGACTGGAGCTGTGTGAGGAGAATCTATGCTTGTGGGCTCTGGAGATAGAGCTCAGGGGGCACCCCTCTAGATTCCTGTGCTGCGTCATTCACCCATATGGCAGAGGACATCTTTCTCAGGCAGACATTTACCTTCCAAGCAGCTTTTGCCTGTGAGGGAAGCAACTGCCCTACCCCATGGAGTTTCTACAGCCTGAGGCTCATTAAGAGACTGATAATAATCAGCTGCCCCACCCTGTGGAGTTTCTACAGCCTAGGCTCATTAAGAGACCAGATTAATCAGGCAGAGGCAGACCTTAGAGGGCTTTGAGTCTTTGCATGATCCGCTTCTGGACCCCAACCTTGGAAAAGCAGATTTTGGTGTGCATCTTGGTCCTGTCCAAATGCACCCAGCCCCTACAGAGGGGACCTCAAGCTGAGGGGTGTTGGTATCTCCAAACAGGGTACTCAAGGCCAGTCACAAACAGTGCCTGACACTGGCCTGCACCAGAGACTTTCCAAAAAGACTGAGAGTCCTAGCAGGCCTATCTAATACATAGAAACAAACCCAAATAGGCAGCCAAAATGGGGAGACAAAAAAACAAACCCCAAATGAAAGAACAAGAGAAGTCTCCAGAAAAAGAGCTAAGTGAAATGGAAATAAGCAATCTATCAGATATAGAGTTCAGAGTACTGACTGTAAGGATGCTCAACAACATGAAAAAAGATAAAACTATGAAAAAGGACTTGTTAAAAATGAAGAATGACATAGCAGAAATAAAAAAATACATTAAAGGAATAAACAGCAGATTAGAGGAAGCTGAAGGCTGGATCAGCAAATTAGAAGACGGTAGAAAAAAATCACTCAATCAGAGATCCCAAAAGGAAAAACAATTAAAAAACAGGAGGACAGTCTAAGGGAGCTGTGGGACAACATGAAAAGTAACAATATTCACATCACAGGAATGCCAGAAGAGGTCAAAAGTAAGCAAGGGTTAGAGAACCTGTTTGAAGAAATAATGGCAGAAAACTTCCCTAACCTAGTCAAGAAAAAAGTCACACAAATTCAAGAGGCACAGAGAGTCCCAAGCAAGAACCCAAAGAGGCCCATGCTCAGACATATCATAATTAAAGTGGCAGAAATTCAAGACAAAGAAAGAATATTAAAGGCATCAAGAGAAAAGCAATAAGTTACCTACAAAGGCGCTCACATAAAGCTGTCAGCTGACTTCTCATCAGAAACTCTACAGGCCAGAAGGGAATGGCATGATGTATTCAAGGTAATGTAAAACAAAGGTCTGAAACCAAGACTAATCTATCCAGCAAGGCTATCATTCAAAATAGATGGTGAAATAAAGAGCTTCCCAGACAAAAAAAAA